ATATATTATTATATATATATATATATATATATATATATATATATAATATATAGTGCGTGTATTATGTATAAAAGAACACTTGACGCGTGATAACGCCGTTTAAGTGAAGGACATAGCCAAAGAACGAGAGAGAGAAGAAAATGGCAGTTGATGGAAAATGAAAGAGATGTGAGATGGAGAGGAGAACGAAAAAGCGGAAGCATGATATTTAAAAAGAGAAAAGAAAAGTATATATCGGATCAAGAATAACCAAGAGGAAGCACGTCTTCGTTGTTAAATGAATAGATAGTTACAAAGATTTCATCACTTTTTTATATATAAAAAGTATATATAAATATATATATATATATATATACATATATATAATGATAATAACAACAATAATAATAATAAATTATTGTCGACGGCTAGATTAGCTCTCATTTGAATGATCATCCTTCGTGAACGTTGCGGGGCACGAAGTCGGCGTTTCCCTTGTTTTTAATCGTGTTTGGAAGCGCAGGAACGAAAACGCGTTCGTGTTTTCCTCCAAAATAAACGATCGAATGAAAGCATGTAGATTTTTCGTAGACTCGACAGAGATCCTCGTTCTAACGCGATCTTCGTTATTATAACGCGTTTCTCGAGTCTCGTGGATGCCCCTGTCAATCGTCATCGTCATCAATATGATACGTAATATCATAAGAAAGAATCGTTTCCGTCAATCGAGCAAGAACGAAAGAGGGAATGGAATGATTTGTTACTTGAAACAAATGTGAAATGAAATTTTCATAGAAAAAAAAAAAAAAAAAAAGAAAAGTCTGTCAAATCTGTGACAAAGAAATGGGAGGAAAAATTCGGTTGAAACGATTCTTTGAAAGTCGAACATTCCGGGAGGCATTCGCTCTATCCATTAAGTAGTTAATTCAAGTTTAGAAGAAGAAGAAGAAGAAGAAGAAGAAGAAGAAATGTGCGACGTAGTGTGTTTATTCAGAAACTGCAGTTAAGGAATATCGCCTGATGAATGTTTCTCGTACATTTAGCTATCGCCATAGCTGTATCTGTATACCGCCTCGTTTTTTCAATATAGAAGAGAATTGTGCGTAGAAGTCTAAGAAAAAAAGGAAAAAAAACGAAAAAAGGAAAAAAAAGAAAAAAAAGGGGAAAAAAGAAGGAAGAGACATCACACGCGGAATCGACCAAAACAAAGTCCATTCGACATCGAGAGCGAACCTGGCGTGATTTTTCTATGCAAGACTGAAGTCATCAAACACTCCTTGTTGATTTGTTCTTTGCATTCTTTTTTTTCTTTTTTTTTCTCTCCCCATGCCGCGTGTACACGCAAAACGTAGCCGAGGCATCTATGATTCATTCGGAACAAACGCATATTTGCTGGCATAAACACACGATACACACACGCACACACGTATACACAAAATATACACGCATTCACGATACATTAATATCCGACGATGTACATAAACGCGTGAAACGTGTGTTCGAGTCGAATCGAGTCGCTAAATTTTCCAAAGAAAACGTGCACAAGCGAGAAAGCAAAACTTCGATAATGAACTTCGATATCGATCGTCGTTATTCATTGTAAGCGCGTCGCAAAAAAAAAAAAAAGAAAAAGAAATGATTTTTCCGACCGTCAGAGGGGGAAAAGGCTTTGGAATTTTCGCCTGGAAAATTAGCGATGGAATATAATTAGCACGCTTATTCAGGCACGAAGATTCGTTTCTTTTTTTCCTCTCGACGAAGGTCCAACGAGGAGAAGGGATCGTCGTCAAATTTAATATCGGATTCCAATCGATTTTTTTTCTACGACCTTGATTCGAGAATCTCGTCACACGGTATTTTCCCCACGAGCGACGCGTGTGAAACAAAAAAAAAAATAATAATAATAATAAGTAAATAAGCAAATAAATATTAAATTTGAAGACGACGGATAAAAAGTATCGGCGGGCCAAGGAACAAGCATCCTATGATTAGTCAGAATCCATTTCTATTGATACTGTTGCGAATAATCTTACATTGTTTATCTTAAGATTTTAACACTGTTTACAAGATAACGTTTTTCATAATAATTGTTCTCGTATCTCTTTTGTAGACATTCTACGACGAAGTACACTTTGTATAAAGATTTCGTTCGAGACCCTCGTGCGAGAGCGACGTTTACGACTTCGGTTTCTCTAATGCGAAACGTATTAGCTTATAGGTTGCACAAGAATGCACGGGAATTACAAGAGAACAGGGTCGATGAGGTGGTAGCGAACGCAGAGACAGAAAAGCAACAAAAAAAAAAAAAGAATTCGAATGAAACTTCGAATCTTTTATTATTATTATTATTATTATTATTATTATTTCTATTTATTTATTAAACACTCGCACATGTTATTGCGGTCATCGATTTTTCACTCGATGCACGAATTTCGATCGAGTATTCTACGATTTACCTTTATTTCTCCCAAAGCAAATTGGTTGCTTCGCACAATGAAATGCCGAATCAATTTTATTCTTCAAATTTTCTCTTCCTCCCGACAATGTTTAACGATAAGCTTCGTTATTTGGAAATCTTTCTTTTTTGGAACAACGGTTTCTCACCGGTTCTTCGACGGGACGAAATGTTCGACGATTTCAAATTTTTATCCACTCCAGCACGTCGCGAGTCGTACACGGCGTAACTGTTTTGCTTTCCCTGTTAATTGCCGTTCGAATTTGCAATCGTGCCGATTCTTTCCATCGAATTTTAACTATATTGATTTCATCGTTATAATTATTTCTTTAACTTTAGATTTTTAGAAGAATCCAGAACGTTTCTTTAATCCTTCTTCTCCCTTCGATTCACAATCACGAAATATGTATACATCTTATTCGCATTTACGTTTATTATATATTCGATAACGTGTCGTTTATGGAATTTTTTTTTCGATTCTCACGCAGTGACGCGAAAACACCGACGCACGATGACAATCCTCTTTTAGAGAAAAAAAAAAAAAATAAATAAATAAAGTAACGATTGCAGTACAAAGACGAGCAGCATCCACGTAAGAGAACCGGGAAGATTGGAATTATTAAGCGCGTTACGTAAAATCGATCGAATCGGTTTTGGACCGATGAACACAACTCGTCTGCAAAAACAAAACAGGGATCAAAAGAATACGCGAAGAATGAAAACGAGGTGTTATTTTTCTCGGATTATAGAATTATAAAAAGAAGACTGATAAGCGTTCGAACGAGAGGAGTTCGAAATATTTTCGCCAAACTGTTTCCCTCCCCTCCATCCCTCGTTTCCTCCTCGACGTGATTGCAAATTCGACAAATTTTTCGCGTGGATCGTACGGGACCCATGGTCGACACATCGATTTTCGCTCGATTTTCCAACGTGGGAAAGGGAAAACAATGGATCGCCTATATTTTTCTCTCACGAAGTCGCCGTTATCAAAAGCTTCTGAATCGCGGAAAAAAGAAAGAAAGAAAGAAAAAAAGGGAAGAGAAACGGGAGTTCGAGAGCGGCGAGCTTCTCGAATACTTTTTTTCAATAATAGCGGAAACTCTTTAATATTAAAGGAAAAAAAAAAATAAATAAATAAAGCATAGACGTTAAGGTACTTTCTCTCTTTCTGTAACGTAAGCAACGTAACGTGACTGTCGTGCAGTTGACGGCATTTGCAAAAGTAAACAGCAACCACTACACTACATAAACAGTACGATAGTAAGCAAAAGAATAAACCCAAAGAGACGTATACACGAGGTGGCCAGGAAGGAAGTTGCTCGATGATCCCAGGGGAATGATAAGAAAAATGTTCGTTTCTCGTTACAATCGATCCTTACATGATCGGATATCATCGCCAATCGAATTGTCTCCACGGTACACGCGTCTCCTTTTTTTTTTTTTTGGTTCTTTTTCAATCGCACCTGGTCGTCGACGACGGCTTCCTCGACACTCGGTATAGTTCAGAAAAAAAAAAATATAATAATAACTTACAATTAGGGAGCAACCGAATGCATGCGTGTGTGAAAGCGAACGTAACGATATATATATATATATATAATAATATTAAAAAGGATAAAAAGGAAAAAAAAAACGCGTGTGTGTTCTACGTGATTCTACGTGCGAGAATGTGCGTTTGATTTGATGAAAAGAAAGATGAGTGAAAGAGAGTGTGCGGGAGAATGAGCGGGTGAGTTTGGGAACAGGGAAAATGGAGAATTTATAAATCTATTATTGTAATAATTATAGAAACAGTGAAGCATAATGTATCTGTACGTTTCTTTACTTCCTGCGGTGAGTCAGAGAGCAGTAAGATAGTTCTTAAGAGCACTCGAAAAAAAAAAAAATAATAATAATAATAAAACGTCGTATAAACGTGATTATTACACGAGGAAAGAGGAAATGGCGCGAACAGGGCGCGAATAACAAATGAAAGGTGTGAAATGCGGATAAAATGGTGTTAAAGAATAATTGGAGGGGGGGAAGAGTGGGAGGGGACAGAGAGAAAAAAAAACAAAGTGGAAGAGAAACAGAAAAAAAGTAGAAACAAGGTTCGACGCGATTTGCGACGGAAGGAAAAAAATTTCATTCCGATATCATCCTATATAAACGTATAAAAGAAAAAAAAAAAAAAAAAAGTATCACGAGCTTTTTGCCAAGCTTTTGCGAGGGCACGGAATATATTCTCTGTTTGAATATCGATGTCCTCGAGAAACGACGAAAACGTAAGAATGTCGGAGACTATTGTTTCGTTTGCAAGCAGCCGATTGTCATTATTACATAATTACAAATTAATTATTCTTACTATTAATTATAGTTCACCAGATCACCGCCATCATCGTTATTATTATTATTATATAATTGATGTGAGTGTGGAACAAAAAAAAAAAAGAAATAAAGTGTACGTAGTAGAAGGCTCCGTCTATCTTTGCCATCCGTCGTTCGAATTACTCTTCTTCGCGTGATGTTTATCGTCGCTTTTTAATCTTTGGATCTCCTCGTTTTTTTTTTTTATCGTTTACCATTTTCATCGAAGCGATGTAACTGGAAACTTAATTCGTTTATTTGAGAATACAAACGAAAGAAAATACAGTGATACAACTTAACTTATACAACTAGGATTTTTTTTCACGATATTGCGAAGTTATTTTTTTTTTTTTATTTTTTTTTTTTTTTTTTTAAGAATTATCTTTAGATTTTTTTTTTAATTTTTGCTAATATTTTGTCAAAATTTTTTCTTCCCCAGCGTCCCTCAATTTCCTTGAACAATCTGCATCTCCAAACTTTTTCTCACTCTGTTGTTCACGTTTTCTTTCTCCATATCGAGAATTTTACCATCTTGAATACTGTTACCTTCGGTCGGTGATAATTTCTCGATTTCTTCTATTTTTATCACAGAGTTCTCTGAAATATTCGTAACATTTTCTTTTTCAATATCAATAACTTTATTACCCTGTTTTATACCGTTATCTTCGATCGACGATAATTTCTCCATTTCTTCTATTAACGCAACAGAATTCTCTGTGAACATGATCGATTCTGACTCGAATTCTCCATCGATATTCTTCGTTGAATCCTCATCTTTTCCCAAAGAATCATCCTCTAACAAATTCATGAAAAATCTCCTACTGTCGTTGAAATACTAAAAATAACAATAATCAATTATTAATACTCGAATAAACGAGGAGATAAGAATATAGACGGACGAAGTTGATCGAAATTAATCGCGATTACTAACGTTTTCCTGATCGCAGATAGGGAAAGATGGATCAAGCAACGATTTCCCCTTGGCCATAGCTTCCCTAGAAATCTTCATCAACTTATCAGCCGATTTCTTTCCCTTTTCTCTTTCCTCCTCACTTTTCGGAGCATTAATTGTTTTTAATATTTTATCTTTCAATTCTACATCCATCACAGGATCAGAATCGAGAAGTAGCTTTTCAACTTCGAATTCCTCCACATTTGTCGTCGCGTCCTCCGAAATTACCTCGATCAATGATTTTGTTTGTTCCTCTTTCGACTGTTTGGTCTCCCTTGGCGATAGAACGTCACGTTTCTTTTCCCCGTGATCCGATTTATTTTTTTTCATGAAGTCTGGCTCGATCAAAAGCTTCCTTTTACTGTCTATCTCTTCCAGATGCTTGCAGAATTGTTGATACAGATCCATGCACATTTTCGACTGTTTTTGGGCAATCTTGGACTGCTTCAAAAGCTGATCAACCGATTTTATATCTGAAATACGATACTTGTCTTTAGTAGTATATTATAGAAACTTTTTGTAACAAATTTTAAGAGAACACACTTACCAACTTGTTCATCGGTGGGTGAATCCGATTTTTTAACTTCTCGATCATCCTCAGAATTTTGAACGTTGAAATGTTTTCTCGCCTCCGCTTGGTGTTGCTCGTTTGACCCGATTTTCGTATCTGAATTTTCCAAAGTTTTGTTGGAAAATATGTCGGAGGTGATGTTCAAAGCTGTACAAGTTAAAAAGTCCTCTTGACTATTCTTCAAATCCCAATTCCCCTTTTTACTTATCAAATCCTCTATGTATCGATCTATCAGAGGCGATTCCTTCTTCACAAACTCCCTTGCCTCTTTTATGAAATGTTGCCTACACTTTTCGGATATTCCATCCACCACCTTTTCACCGCTCCTTGGATTTTGCTCGGCGTCTATCTCCTCGATCAAGTGGAATTTTTTACTGGCTACGTCCTGGCATTCGCAATCGCGCGATCTTTTATGCGATTTAGAAGATATCGTCGACTTTTCAAAGCTCGACGAGGAAGAGGACACGTTCGCGTCCTTTTCAGACGCGGTCTCCAACGATTGGACCTCATCGTTCTCGCTCTGCACTTCGATAATTTTTACATTACCAGACTCGTTTCGTCCGCAATTATCTTCTCCTTGCTCTCGTGTATTGTTGTTCGTACTCGTCGCGTTTGCCTCTTCTTCGTCGATTTCTTTCGCTTTATCATAATTGTTAATTATTGTTTTAACAGACTCGCTGTCCGATATCTCGTCGTCGGTGGAATCGAGAGATGAGGTTGTGACGTTGACGGGGCTCGATTTCTCCATGATTTTTACATCGACAGACTCGCTCTTAACGTCACTGATTATTTCTGAATCGTTCATAATATTCGAAGAAATGATGTCGATACAGCTCGCGGAACGTGTTGTTTCTTCCGCGGTTTCGTCTATTTTTTCCAAAGTCAACAATTCTTGGGAGCTGAGCGATTTCCTCGATCCCTTTTTGTCCATCCCGCTTCTACGATTCATCTCGTTGAACAAAGAGTTGTACAATCCCGAGAGGCGGTCCTTATTGTTATCGTTTTTAACGGATTCGTGCAACATAGCGTCACCCTCGCCGGTTTTGCCATCAGCTTTCACATCCTTCAACAAAATTTGAGGACACTTTTTCAAATTTAATAGATCGTACACACCTTGGCAGGATGGAACGTCCTTCGCGCCTTTATCCACTTCTTCTTCTTCTTCTTCTTCTTCTTCTTTCTCGACCTCTTCAACAATTTCGATCCTCTTCGCGTTTCTCGATCTCTCCGCCTCCTCTCTCCGCTTCAAGATCTCTCTCACCTTCAACTTTCTCTCCTTCGTGTCCCACCATTTGACCGAATCTTTCCCCTCGTCCTCCTCCTTTCTCGTTTTATCGCTCTCTTTGAACACCATCTTGTTCTCCTCCATGAATTTGTCCATCTCGACGCAAAACTCCTTCATGTCCTCTCTGATGCTGCTCAACTGGCTGCTCAAAGGATGCGGATCATTCCTTCTTCGATAATTGTCCAGGATATCCTTGGACGGACATTCGTTGCTCGCCATATTCTCTTCCCTCTTCCTTTCATCGCTCTTCGTGTCCAAAATGTTACAAGAGACCGAGACACTTTTAAACTTCCTTGCTCTTCGGCTGGAAACGGAAGAATGGAATTACCAAAGAAATGAGAGGAGAAGTATCGCTTCTTCATACATATTCGTGTTCTAATTTACCGTCATCTCGTCGTTTCTCTGACTTACAGCAGGATGGAGTAGTAATCTCGTTCGTGGTACTCGTTGCAAATATCTCGTAATCGTTCGGATCTTTCCTCGAATCGACCGGTGGATCATCATCGATGTTTCGTTCCTCTAAAATCACCTTCCCTGTCCGCTCTATCGTATCCACCAACTCCTTCGTGTCATCCTCCTCTATCACCTCCACCAACTTTTTAACGCTCTTACGAGTAGGAAGCTTGGAAAGCAATAATTGGAACGATACGAAAATGGAATTCTCGTCGAAAACGTAAGGAGAAGATTGGTAAGAATTGAGATTATGTTCATATTTAAATGGGATGGAAAATCGAAAAGATATATACCTGAGTTTTCCAGGGTAACAAAATTTCCTGGCCTCGATCGGACGAATCTCTCCTTTCTTCCTCCGCCATTGGCCTCCTTCCGTCACTTTTCTCCGTCCCTTTTTGGATCGGTCCGTCATCCTCCTCTTCGCCCGACGACGAGGACGCGGAGGAGTTGTCGGAGGATGAGGACACCTCCAACTTTTTCTTCTTCTCCAGATTGAGCTTGAACGTTGATCAGGCCGGCATAAGGGGTTTCGCGTGGTGAATGATCAAATAGTGGATGGGACCGAATGGGTGGTGATGATATTATTCGAAGCACGAATTCTGTATCAGACCTTGACAAAACTAGTTTCTTACCAGTTCGTCGCTCGTGCAGACAACCGTGGTCGCGGCTACTTCTTCGTCCTCCTTCGTCCTTTTCTTATCCTCCGCCTCCTTTTCGGACGTCTCGACCGGTTTGCACTGCTTCCTTTTGTTTATCAGGGCTTTCGAGGGCGGCACCGGAGGTCCACGAGAAAATAGAAATCAGAAACAGGGTAACAGATTAGATAGGCGCGCTTATACGCGCTCTCTGAAATATTCCACGATCACCTTTTTTTCCTTTCGGAACAAATTTCGTACAATTTTCATACTCGATAAATTCGGTGAGCAATTTTATATATTATTACGCGTTTATACGATCTTCACATCGATTTCGAAACAGACTTTGACGCGTCATTTTTTTTTTTTTTTTTCTTTTTCTTTTCGCGGCACACGGAGGTGGTTTTCGTGCCGATCTTTTCTGCAGAGCGTGATAAAGTAAGGCTGCGAGAACAGAAAAAAGGAAATAATAACGGGGGAGAGTGTGTTGAGGGTCTTCGGAAAGCAAGCTTTCGTGGGGAGATGAAAAGGTGCGAAAAAATCGAGAGCGAGCGTTTCGTTGTGGAGCCAAACGAGTCCTATACATCATCTACCTTTCGATTTTTACTCACCGAGCACGCTATCATTGATTTTCTTCTGCTCCGCCTCGATCCACCGTTTCCTCTCGGCCGCTTCTTCCTCGGGCCCCCCTCGCATCCTGCCTTCGTAACAGTTTCGTTAGCTCGTAACATTAAACCGACTATCTAAATATCAAAACGTGTTCCCTTCGTGCATTTCGCTCCATTTCGCACACACTCGCGCGGCCAACACGCGGCCAATTTTACTCGTTGAACCGCGGTACCGATCCACTCCGCCCAAACGTGGACCACGACTTACCAAGCCTCGGCGCAGGCACGATCCCTTGGAAATACCGGCCTGTCGTCTAGATACTTGAGATTCTTACACTTCAAGATCATAGTCTTGCGATACAGTTTGATCGCCTTCAGGATCGGATTGCCCATCAGGGACACCACGCGCAACTCTTTCATGTCTCCCAATATCTGGTGAAGATAAAAACTTTCCAATCCTTTTAATAATAATATAACAACAACAAAATTGTCAAAATTTTTACTTTACAATTTGTCGCACGAGAACGAACGAACGAACGAATCTCGTGGAAAATGTTATTATCTCTGGTAATTATATTGGTTCTATGTTGGTCTGGAATATGTATTTCCAGTGTTAAAGAAGAAGAAGAAGAAGAAGAAGAAGAAAAATATTATGCAAAGACAAGGCTCGGTTACAAAACGCGCGACACACCACTTTCGAAAAAAAAAAACATCACTGAAATTACATCACTGGGTGAGAAATCAGGCTTCGAGCGGGCGTCGAAGCGACGCCAGAGAGGCTTAAGGAAAACATAACGGACTCACATTAACGACTTGGTCGGTGTCTATCCTGTTGTGAGAAATATCCAGTACCGAGAGGCTGTCCAGCGATCGGAGATGCTCAATGTCACCGGTACTTTGCAAGTAGTTGTGCGACAGGTTTAGAGTATTCAGGAACTTGAGGCTATCTGAAAGCAGAGGCGCGTCAAGGTCAAGGTCATCAAGGATACCAAGCGTCGACTCGAGTCACCGAGATTCTCAATCCTTCGTATAGTGTTGTAAGAGAGGTTCAGAGTGTCGAGCTTGGTCAGGTACTCGAGATTCTCGATCTTGCTGATCAAATTATTGTGAAGGAACAAGCACTTGAGCTCGCTCTGATTTTCCAGATTCGCGATCTCCCTGATCCCGTTGTTCTCCAGCCACAAACACTTCAAGCCTGTATACTTCTCGAGGTTCTCGATGAAAGAGAAACCTGAAAAGGGAAATCTTCTATTGCGAGAAAAATACTGGGGGTATATTTTTCTATCTCTTCTTTTTCTTTCTCTCTCTTTCTCTTTCTCCTCCTTTCTTCTCTCTTTCTTTTTTTTCTCTCTCTCTCTTCGTATTGCTACAAAAACGATGCGATAAAGTGGTACTTTGGCAGCGTTTTTTATTGCAAATTTTTATAACAGTGTATACAATTGTGTATAGTAATTTTTTTCATTTTATATCTATTTACGAATAACGTGTAGTAAAAATTTTGTTACGTTTTTTTTTTTATCCTTCCCTTTTTCTTTTCTTTTCAAGGCTCGGTTACAAAACGCGCGACACACCACTTTCGAAAAAAAAAACATCACTGAAATTACATCACTGGGTGAGAAATCAGGCTTCGAGCGGGCGTCGAAGCGACGCCAGAGAGGCTTAAGGAAAACATAACGGACTCACATTAACGACTTGGTCGGTGTCTATCCTGTTGTGAGAAATATCCAGTACCGAGAGGCTGTCCAGCGATCGGAGATGCTCAATGTCACCGGTACTTTGCAAGTAGTTGTGCGACAGGTTTAGAGTATTCAGGAACTTGAGGCTATCTGAAAGCAGAGGCGCGTCAAGGTCAAGGTCATCAAGGATACCAAGCGTCGACTCGAGTCACCGAGATTCTCAATCCTTCGTATAGTGTTGTAAGAGAGGTTCAGAGTGTCGAGCTTGGTCAGGTACTCGAGATTCTCGATCTTGCTGATCAAATTATTGTGAAGGAACAAGCACTTGAGCTCGCTCTGATTTTCCAGATTCGCGATCTCCCTGATCCCGTTGTTCTCCAGCCACAAACACTTCAAGCCTGTATACTTCTCGAGGTTCTCGATGAAAGAGAAACCTGAAAAGGGAAATCTTCTATTGCGAGAAAAATACTGGGGGTATATTTTTCTATCTCTTCTTTTTCTTTCTCTCTCTTTCTCTTTCTCCTCCTTTCTTTCTCTCTTTCTTTTTTTTCTCTCTCTCTCTTTCGTATTGCTACAAAAACGATGCGATAAAGTGGTACTTTGGCAGCGTTTTTTTATTGCAAATTTTTATAACAGTGTATACAATTGTGTATAGAATTTTTTTTCATTTTATATCTATTTACGAATAACGTGTAGTAAAAATTTTGTTACGTTTTTTTTTTATCCCTTCCCTTTTTCTTTTCTTTTCTTTTCTTTCCTTTTTCTTTTTTCTTTTTTTTTTTTCTTTTTTTTTTTTTTTAGTTAGATTCGTAAACGAATGGATGCTCGTGTGTAAAATTAACCTTTGTAATGAAGATAAAGTACGTCGTTGAGATGCGGTGTTTGATAAAGTTTATGCTGCTTGCAGTGCTTTTTCAAAAACTCCTCGGTCATTCTGGAACCAGACACCGTTTACTTTACCAAACATAAAAATACTATATCACGAACACGCCGATGCAAATGAATCAACGAATTGCACAGGTTCAAGGCAACTGTACCTGACGCCGTGTTTCTTCTCGTCGAAATCGTACACCTTCCCCTTGATGTAAGTCCTCTCCGGTTCCTTCTTGAATTGCCAAAACAGCGAATCCTCGGTTTCGTCGATAATGTCTTGGACGATTCCCTGCACGGTCGACTTCGTCGTTTCCGTCGTCGAACTCTCGTCCGTTCTCTTCTCCTTCCGTTCGTCGCGCTCCTCCTCTTCCTCTTCCTTCTCCTCCTTCTTCTCCTTTTCTTTCGAGGCGGCCTCCTCCGACGAGGCGTCGTCACCCTCCGTCGCCTTCTCTTTCGCGACATTCTCGTCTCGCTCCACCTCGATCGCCTCCTCGTCCACGGACGATTCTTCCGTTTCCGGTATTTTTGGGATCACTTGGAGGCATTCTTGCAACAATTCCGCGCGACGCTTCTCTTCCTCCTCGACGCTCTTTTGAATAGTTTTGAATTTAAAGCTCTCGGCTACTTGATCCTTGGTCAAAGGCAACTCGATATCCTTCCCATCCACCTCGTCCAAACTTTCGTCGGACCCGCTGTTGTACTCCTGCTCGGCCGACCTCGTCTCCGCGACCAGTCTCTCGATCTTGTCGAATTCCACCGACAGATCCTCCAGCGCCTCGTTCTTCCTGTTCTCTATCTCCGCCTTCCCCTCGGCGATCTTCTTCAACTTTTCGTGGGCCTCCTCCTCGGTTTTCGGACAATCCGATTCCGTGATCTCTGCCAATTTCTCCAAGTACTCTTCCGGGGAATTCAACTCCACGAACTTGGATTCTTTCCTTTGTTCCACGGGTGTTGCGGTGTTCCCCGTAAATTTGCCCACCGCTTCCTCCTCCTCCTCCTCCTCCTCCTCCTTTATTTCCTGAAGACATTCGTCCTTGTTCGTCGCAGATGGATTTTTCCCGGCCTCGGCAGACGGCTCCTCGACAATTTCCTCCAAAATCACAGATTTGCTCGATTCCTTCGAGTACATGGCGTTCAATTGATCTATGGTCGCCTCGTACTTGGGTTCCTTCATACTGTCCCTGTATTTAAAATAGGCGGAGATGTTCACGTTGGGCGAGGAGTAGATCAGATTCCCTTCGTATTCGTCCTCGGAATCGCTCGAGAAATCGTCCATTCTGTTCTCCACTTTCAATTCTATTATCGTCTCCTTGTCGTCGACCATCTTCTCGTCCTTTTCCCTCGCTTCGACCTCGTACCCCTCGATCTTCTCGATCTCCATCGAGTCGATCCGGGCCGAAGTTTCCATCCCTTTGTCCACCCCGATTAGATCGAGATTATCCCCCTTCGTTCCCTCGCCCGCGATCGAATGAATATTCTCGTCGCGCGAATCGTCCCGATTTATCTCGAGTATAGAAACTTTGTCAGAGACGGGGAAATTATTGTTGTCCGCCTTTTTCTCGCACGTTTCCTCGAACGATTGTTGGTAAGAATTGGGGTAAGCGTCGTTCTCGTCCAGGACGAGGGCCTCGCCTTCCTCGGCGTCGTCGAAGGTCAACGTGTCGTCCAAATCGCTGTCGCTGTCCTTCTCGGCTTTGGTCGAGTTGTAGTAAGATTGATTTTCGTAGGTGACGTCGAATATAGCGTTGCAGTCGAAATACGAGAGCCAGTTGGAGTCGTCGTCGTTGTCCACCTCCGGTATCGGCTCTGGGGTAGACGCGGTCGCGACCGCCTGTTCCTCCGACGTGCCCTCGTTCTTCTGTATTTCTACGCCCATCTTCGTGAGAACGTCCAACGACGAGGCGGAAAGGACATCGAAATCCACCGACGAATCTTTCGGTATCTTTGAAAAAACGAAAAGGGATTTATTTTAATTTCCTTTTTTCTCTTTTTTTTTCTTTTCTTTTCTTTTCTTTTCTTTCGAGAAATTTCGAAGAGAAATTCGGCGAACGAGAGAATTAATCGTTTCTCGAGAGATCTTCAATTCTAAGGATTGAAAACGTATGCACTCCATAGTGTCGATCGAAGCTAACCTCTCTCGTGTAACGAGAAAAACTCGTCAATTTTTTCTCATCCGCCAATTTCCAACGATAATGATATAGGATTAATAGAGAATAGATTTCGTCGAAATTCGGGATTCTAACCGATTTTTTGATCTCTGTCTCCGACAAAGTGATACTACTTGCTGCAGTGTCGAGCCTTGCCTCGGCCGAGACTTTTTTCTCCATCAAAGAGGATTGAAAGTCGCACTCCTCTTGCATTTCACCACGCCCCTTTGTTAATCTAACTCACCACTAACACTGTATAGAAGCTAAATCTTCGGTAAGCTGTGTGAGAAATTTGTGAGGAAGCGATTATTTTAACATGACTCCTCGAAAATACAAGAAACTCGCATTGACAGCACTCGTTGCCCGGGTTTCGTTTGATCGATATCGTTCTCGCAACCTTTCTCGCATTTCAGACCGTTTGAAAAACCATTCTCCGCCGAGAATGTGCGCGAGTTAAGTCATCGATATCGATGATCGAGGCGCGATTTGGTAAACTTTTGCCGGAATTGTTGAAGGAGGAAAAATATATATATAAATCTAGAGAGAGACGAGTACGAGGAAAAGGAATCGACAACGCGACAATCGTAGAAAATAGCAATTTGGTTTCTAAATTATCGCGCGTATCAGTATTACAACAATGTAGCCGATACATTGACAGTTGACCCGTTGTTCATCCTTGTTGCAACTTTGCCGTATCTATAAGTCAGAGGCGAAGAGGACGGATCCAGGAGTTGAATCTAGGAAACGATTGCATAATTTCGAAACAGCGTCGCTATGAGAAACGAAATAACGTTATAGATTAAAAATTGATATATCTCGAACGAATTGCTTATTCGAAAATTCTCGAGGAAAAATTCCGAAACAAAATATCGAAACATTCGCTGATTTCGCGAATATTTCTCGTTGTTCGAGACTTTCGAAAAATTCTGAAACGAAAAAAGAAAAATTGCCTTGAAATTCCTCGGACAGAAGAAAATATATCGTTCCTCGCCGAATATCTCTCGTTTCTGTTCTGGAGTCGCGCGCGTGCAACGAAGAAGAAGAAGAAAAAAATCCCTAGATCGACGAAGGGCCACGATTCGTTTGTCATCTGCTCCCTAGTTTATATAGGATATCTCGATCTCGTATCTATTCCTCGGCCACCTCGTTCCGTTTTTATCGCCTCCGTCTGAAATGCCTCCTCGATGGCGGTTGCCTCCTCTCCGTTCCAGCCGGCGAGGCGATCATCATTCGAGAATGAATGCTATCAACATAATTCAATGGAAAAGGCTGAACGCCGATTCGCAGGCGTCGCGACGAATCGGGATCGATGGAACGGGAAATCGCCTTCCACTTGAGAGTCGAATCCTCTTCGTCCTCTTCCTTCCCCTGGAACCCGATCCTCTCCCGATCCTCTACTTATCCAAACACGTTTTTCTACGCAGCCAGACCCAACTTCTCCTCCTCCTCCTCCTCCTCCTCCTCCCTTTCTACCCAGCCTTTTTCTCATCGCGCCAATTACTTCCTCCATTCGCTTTGTCCATTCCGATTCCCACTCTCTTCTCTTCCATCCATCCGCTCGATCAAATGTCGCTTCTTTTAGATATCGCATAATAAAAAATGCTTTGTAAAAAAATTTAACGGAGAATTATGGAGGATTAAGAAAATCAATAATCGATGAAACTTGCTCTTTATTTTTCTTTTTCTTTTCCAACACTGGCAGATCGAGAATTCCGTGTGCGCATACGAGATTCGGTTGATGCGCCGACAGGTAGATAACTCGGCACAGGGTCGACGGAACGGGAAATTGCACCACAGCTCCATATTCGAACCATTCCCTCCCTTTTCCTCGAGACGCGTCTTCCTGCGCAGTTTTCTTCGCCGCCTCCAGTCGCTATCTCAAACCGTGTGGAAATTAGATACTCGTCGCGTTCGTATCGTATGCGAACGAACCAGTGACATCTATTCGGCACCTATCCGGAGAACGAGCTTCCGTTTCTGTGTACACATCGTTTGCGCAAATCGCACGATACGATTATTTTAAACTATATTTTTCTACACGTACGCCTAAATGGAACCACGATCTCGAATAGATGTCTTCGAAAAAGGTATTTCGAAATGCTTAATTATAGAGAGATAAACTCATCTTCTCGCCTCGGGTTAATCCACTTTTTCTCTTCTGTTCGAAAATAATTACGTTTCAAAATTATTTCCAATATATACATATATATATATGTTTATCGTAGAAGCGTGTTCCTTTTCGTTTCCTTTTTTTTTTTTTTTAGGAGAAGGAAATACAAATATATATTTCATATCTTGTCCGCCCGGAAGTAAGGAACGCGTCACTGGATTCCGATCACGCGTTAAAATGACTGTGCACTTATGGCAGATAATGTTTCTGGAACGTTTCACGTTTGCTGACACGAAAAGCCGAGAAGATTACAAGAAAGTTACACGTGTACCTTGACGCCGCGTAATAGGACGCTTTTTTCGCGATAGCAACGCGATATCAATTTTTTCCTTTTTCCATCGATATTGCATAACAATATACTATATAATATATATATATATATATACATCGTTCAAACTGAAACGATAAATATATATATATATATAAAATCGAATTCGAATCGATTTCGATTCAAATAGAAGTGCGCGAAAACACGATGGACGAGAAAATTATCATCATGGATGGAGCGAAGGCATATGGAACGATAAACACCGATAAGATTCAATGGCTGGAAAATAATTTTGAATCCCGTCTATCGGCTTTCATGAGCCGGCGCGTGACCATGACCTCGACGATCAAGCGTCTCGCACTTCTGAACCGAGTTCACAGCTGCCACCTTTCCTTTCCCGCTTTTCTCCTCTCCCCTCCCCCCGATGTTGCGTCGCTTCCGGCGCGTGTTTCCGTGTGGGAAAAGAAAAGGAAAAGAAGAAAGGAATCCGCGCGATGAGGAAGAGAGAGAGAGAGAGAGAGAAAAGGGGTGGGGGAAAAAAAACCACCAGGAAACAGCGCGCGTCCTGTCGCGATCCTCCTGTTCCAGGAACAACGTTTCCTCCTCAGAGGAGAGTGTGGTCGACGAGAGAGAAGAGGCCTTCGTAGAAGAAAGATGATTAGTGGCGCGGAATAACGGCGGAAGATTGGACACGCGAGGCTGCTGTTGAATTATTGAAGCATCGACGGGTGGGGAGGGCGAGGAGGTAAGAGGATTAAAAAGCCTAGTAGAGAGAGAGATTAGAATTTCAAGAGGCGAATAAAAATATATACGTTCGGCCGTGGTTAAATTTACTTTTCGATGGGTATCGTTGACGACCTTGATTTCGAAGATCAATCTCTTTGGCGGATCCATCATCCGATTCCCCCTCCCCTCTGATTTCTCGTTCCGTTTATTGCGGCAATCGATCGAGATCGCGATAAAAAGCGTTTCAAGAGGATTCGAATTTGAAAGATTTTTGAAAATTCACCAACGAAACAAATAAGATAATAATTTCGTTGATATGCGTGTGAAGAAAAAAAAAAAAAGGACGAAGGAAGAAAATCGATTAATAATCTTTGAAAAATTAATCCGTTTCGAGAATGCTTATCGAAAAAAAAAAAAAAAGAAAAAAAAAAGGAAAGTACG